CGTCCGAAATCTCGACCCCGAGCCCGTCCAAATCTTCCAAGGCATCAAAGAGGGAGCCCTTCTTGCCGTCTGCGAGCTTGACCTGCCCCACGCAATGTCACAAGGACCAAGGAACAAGAGCAGATTTGGTGCAGCATCATGGTTTCCATTGTAGTGGCTGTTTTTTGGTTAAACACGGTTACCATGTTTGTTGTTATAGGGTCTTAAGACAAGAGCTGGTTTACGCGAAAATGAACTGAAACGCAGACCGTAAGGAGGATGTTTCATTTCGCGGACAAGGCTGTTAAGGTGAGGCTGGCCGAGGGGTTCACGGCCTGGGTTTATATAGGCCTTATTTCATTCTTGAAAGTGTATGGTCAGAAGGTCTTTTTGCGCTTGGGGTTAGGAATAGGAAGCCACCCACCAACCTCCCCCGAAGGTCGCAGAAGTGGTGGCATATTGGGGCAGAGGATGTCAGGCACCGTCGGTTAGTTCCGTGTATCGTTCGCGTACATGCCACAGGAAGGGCAGTCAAGTTATGGGCAGTTCTCTAAATCAAGGTCCTTTTCTAGGTCCGCAAATATTAAGGCACCCTTGTAAAAGGGCCCCGCAAGGAACCCTAATTTAGAGAACTAGCCTTATGGCAGATGGATGATGCCCTTGACCAGAAGCAGGTGGTTGCGGTAGGCACCTGTGGATCCACTGACCAGGCTTTGATCGTGGATTCAGATAAGCCAGCTTGGAGCAGCGCTGAGCAGAAGGAGTCCTTTCCAAGATTGGCATCCGAGGCTGTTGGTCTGCTGAGTTTGGCTTTGCCACACGATGAAATAAAGGCTTCTGGTAGTCAAGTTTCTTCAGTTCTTTGGGTAGTTCCGCTTTCGATTCGACCGTTGGCTTATTCGGTAAGACCCTCCTACAACATATGACCCTGCAAGCTAGGTGACAGAAGCCTCGCCTCCCCGAGACCTTTCCGCGCTGGCCACGCCTCACTGCCATGGCTATGGAAAAACAGAGCACGCTCACGCATGTCTGAAGCATCGAAGCTGTTTCTTGTCATCATAGCTCGAGTTTGTGCTGCACTGCTTTGCCTCCCGTCCTGTTCATTGCAGTTCTGCCACGGATTATTATAATCACCGGTTCCCGTAATTGTCTAGAGTCTAGTATGCCATTACGTGTTGGAACCTACTACGGAATCCATAGTGAGCAGACCTCTGGAACTATGTTTTTGATGCTACCAACAATACCATCTCACGCAGATGAGTCCCCGACAAACCGAGGTCCTGTTGCAGGGCAGATCCAACGAAGTGAACTCCCAACAGTTTAGAAGTCTTGTTGTGGGAGATTGTGGGAGGCTTAATAGTTAGAATGGGATTTGGGGGCCCCTTATACTTATGCTTTACTCATAATAAGGACCCCCAGAAAACAGTACTGGAAGTTTTTTAAGCCCCTATAGTAGCAGTCTGAAAAGACCTTAAGTTAGAAAGGGTGTTACGGAGTTTTTAAAGTGTATTCATGCAGGCTCATAATATAGGGGCTATCAGGTAATACAATCAGCAGCCATGCCGGCCTGTGGAGGAGTTTTCCGTTCTTCACACCTGTTAAGCCCACGAAGCCTCTCAAACCCTCGACATCCCGGCAACACCCAAAACCCAAAGAAAAAACAAAACAACCCCAAACCCAAAGAAAAAACAAAACAACCCCAAACCCAAAGAAAAACCCAAACAACCCCAAACCCAAAGAAGCTCCTTACGGCATGGCTTCTCCAGCCAGTTCATCCTCTCCGCCATGCCCTGAGGCAGGTCAGACGAAGGCTCAGAGTTTGCAGCCCCTTGGGAGCCCGAATAAAGGGGCCTTAATAATTAGAATGGGGTGTTGGGGCCTATTATACTATGTCTATAATAAGGAACCCAAAAATAGTATTGGTAATTATTTAGGCCCCTTTTATTAAACCCCAAAGCCTTTTGTTTTCTTCATCCGGGGGTCGGGGGTGTCGGCCGGGAAACCATCAAGCCTAAAACCCTAGCCGCACACCCCGAAAGCCTAAACTCTTCAAAGCCCCAAAAGCTCTCTTGTTTTGGGGGTTTGACGTCCTTTATCGTATACGTATGATAAGGAACCCCCCAAACCAATGTAGGTAATTATTGAGGCCCCTATATTACTCTATGCACCTGCGGCCTGAAGGGTTTTGTTCAATCCGATCGGGGACGAAGCTTCGGGGTCTCTTGAATTCCGTCATCTCTCCGGGGCTTTAGTTGAGAGTTTGCGGTTTTGGGCTTTTGAGTTTAGGTTTAGGGTTTAGGGTTGGGGTTTAGGAGTTTAGAGTTACGGCTTAGCGTTTTGGGCGCTGAAGCAGTCAAGGTTTCCGTGTTTTGGTCAGAGAGAGTCTCGGATCGAGGGTTAGCTCGTAACGCAGGGTCCACGCCAAGCCCTAAATTACTACTAAACCCGAATCCCTAAACCATAATCCTAAACCCTAAACCCTAAACCCTAAACCGATAATTGTTAGATATTCGAACCGCTATAGCACCCATTCGAGCGCCTTGCAGACCTACATCCGGAACCCTCGCTCGCCCGCGGCCTAGGCCCCACCAGAACCCACAAATCCTACATGCGGGTAGTTCTCTAAATTACGGTCCCGTTTTTCGGACCCAAATAGAGTACGGCACCCTTATTAAAAAGGACACTAAACTAATTTAGAGAACTACGCGTGTGCAAGCATTCTTTGCTGTCTCCGTCAAAAGGAAAAGGTTTTGCGAGTTCAGACGGGCCTGACCCCTGCAGATACTGCGGCCCCTGCCGAGTGTAAAGCTAAGGGTTCAGGGTCTACAGTAAACCCTGGGATTTAGATGTATTGGGCTTATGACCCTAGGGTCATAGGGTTTTAAACCCTTAAGGTTTAGTGTAGGGTTTATGACCCTAAAACCCTAAACTAAGATGCAGGTTTGAAGCTTTTGTGCCCTCAAACCTCGAAGGGGGAGGCGGAGGCGTGAACGCCATTGTCGCCGACATTCGGCTCGGACTTCAATCCAAGGGCCTGCCGGGAAACTCAGAGTTCTGTATGTAAGGGCGCCGAATTTAAAGGGGTTTCGAGATCTTGGGTCTTAGGATTCGTGGTGAGTTTCGAGCTCTTGGGTCTTAGGATTCGGGTTCACGGTTGTAGCATTTAGACTTGCGCACACACTCAAGGCAGGCACGTACTCAGGCGATTTGGGTACGGGGTGGCATGGCGCTGTGACGAATTTGCACCAAGTGCGTGCAAGATTGTCTGAGTCAAATATTCGGGTTCACGTGGCCTTTGACAGTACAGCCCGATGAAACAGGATTTCTTGAAGCGGTGGACTTGGTTCATGCCAGCACACATAAAGCCGGATTCGAGAACCTATTTTTCTGGGGCATTGTGCTCGACTTTTCGTCGTCTGAGAAGAACAAGGCTGCCGGGACTTCAAAGTTCACGCTGTGGAGGCTCATAGACTGGGTCTTGGCAAGGCGTATACAAATCCAACACACGAGCCTGACAAATTAGAACAGGTTCGTGGGTATATGTTTCACTATGACCAAAAAGAAGGAGCCCTGATGAAATAGTATGGGGTAATCACTCCGAACGTCTACGGTAGCACTTTTCCCATCGCAAGGAGGCGGCTCCACTGAGGTTTCAAGGGCCACTGCATGCAACTTTGAACTCGAAAACCCCGAAAAACAACTAAAACCCTAAACCCTAAACCCTAAACCCTAAGGGTTTAGGGTTTGGGGTTTAGGGGGACATGGGACCGTCCCTCTTCATCCAGCCTTCCAGTCTGCCAGGATCTTCCCTCTGAGGGAATCCTTCGAACAAGTTTGGGGATCATGGGAGGCTTGGTCTAAAGTTGGATCCCCGCTCAGGGTGAGCACAGGGTGCTGTTATAAAAGGTGGTCATAATTTAATGCAACCCACCTTATATATTCAATAAACCAAGGGCGAATTGAATCAAACTGCTGAAACCTTCTGGTGCACGTCCAAATCAATGAGAACGTTCCTAAACCCATGAAGCACATCCGAAACATCCAAGAGCTGTTGCATCAAGACTGGCACTCATGCTCAAAAGTAGCTTGAAGTAAAGCGCATATTGGTCCACCGTCTTAATTACAAGTTTCGGCAACCATAAGCCATGCAACTCTTGCCTGCTAAACTCCGCGCCTTGCAAACATGAAAGCCAGAAGCCACCTCCTCCCCGAACCTGAGGCATCGACTCAAATCAAGTTGCCAAACTTCAGGGAATCCCCGCACACGCCCGAAGCCCCTTTTGCATCCAGGCCTATTGCAACTGCCGGGAAACCCCTAAACGCTAAACCCTAAATCCTAAACCCCAAACCCTCAAGCCCAAGATAGAGCCAACCCTAAACCCTAAACCCTAAACCCTAAACCCACCCAACCGAAGCACCACACCTCCAAACAGCAGACCCAAGTTTCGGATCGAAACTGCAAGCGGACCCTAGATCCCCAACACCCCAGACCCAAGCGACTGCAATGACTAGAGTAATGATTTAGGGTTTAGGGGTTTAGGGGTTTAGGGGTTTAGGGGCTTAGGGGCTTAGGGGTTTAGGGTTTAGGGCTTAGGGGCTTCGGGTTTGGGGGTTGGGGTTTTGGGTTTAGGGTTAGTGGTGTAAGAGTCCTTACCAACAGTAACATTGCGGAAACCTGAACCCTAAATCCTAACCTTCGGTCCTTGGGGGCTTGGGACGGATCCGTTGGCCCCAGGACTTTGCCTCGGAAATCTTCCCAGGAGAGAGTCTTCTCATCCTCGGCTCTTGAGATAGTTTGCTTTAAGGGCTGGGGTTTTTTCCGGGTTTAGGGTGAGGGTTAGGGTTTAGGGTTAGGGTTTAGGGTTTAGGGTTTAGGGTTTAGGGTTTAGGGTCTAGGTTCCTTCAAGGGTGCCCTTAAAGGGAACCCTTAAAGGAAGCCTTAAGGAGGTCTAAAGGGCTTTTCTTGAGGGGTCTAGGCAAGGGCTCTAGGATCTTAGGGGCTAGGGGTTTAGGGTTTCGGCTCTGTAAGCTTCAACGCCTTGGGGTCTAGGCTCTTTAAGTTTTACGAGCTTAAGGTTTAGAAGCCCAGGGTTACAGAGGCTCTTCAAGGGCGCAGGGCCTCAGGGGAGGAGGGCTTAAAAAGGCCGGGGGATTTCGGCGCTCACTCTCGGACATGCCAAGTGAGGTCCGGTGTGCGAAACCAGAGGTGACGAGTTTTCACGAGATTAGGGCCGCAAAGTTCGAGGCTTGAGGGTTTGGGGTTTGGCTTTTCTCCTGCTTGGCTCTTGAGCTTTTTACCCAGTGGATTGGAGAAGGCAACTCTGAAAGAAGGTATCCTGGGCTTTCAGGGGTCCTGAAGTTCAGGGCCTTTAGGATTTAAGGGCTTTCAGGGGTTGCAGGGCTAGGTTTTTTTTTAAAGAAATTCTGGGGCGCCACTCTAAGTGGCTTCGCGGAGTTTTGGGTTCCGGCAGAAGCCTGTCGGGTCTAGAGCTTCGGGGTTGGAGGTTGAGGGTTTAGGGTTTAGGGTTTAGGGGCTGGAGGTTCTGCTGGGTTCCTTAAGCCAAATTCAGACAAAGTCGGCAATGCAATGGGGTGGTGGGCTCTCTGGGGATGTGAGGTTTAGGATCTGCTTGTGCCTCGCACCTGCCCACATGGGCACAACCGAGATCACAAACCAGGACTTCCAAAACTCCTACTGCAACCAAAACCCCAAACCGTAGAAATCCCAGATCAAGGCACCCATTCCACGGTGTAGTAGTGGATGCTCTTCCCGGGTGCGGTGAAGTTGCTCCGCATGCTCATGAAGAAGCCTCGGTGTTCGGGCCTTTCGGGCTATGGAGCTGCGGGCTTTGGGCTTGGAATTCGGGTCTAGGGCTTATGAAAGATTTTCGGGCTTGGAAAATAAGGGGCATCATGTAACCTTATACTATTTACTGTCTTAGATTCTCTTCCATGTCTGTTTCAAAATGCCGATTTCTACTTCTATCTCCATGACAACCTCTTCTTCTTGGGACCTATATAGGCTCTTTCGTCTTCAGGGGTCTTCACCCGCCCACATCTGCCAGGAAGTGGCACGTAGGGCGAACCTCTGAAGAAGGAAGGGCCAAGAAGTTCAAGGGTTCAGGAACACCAAAATCCTATTGAATTCCTGTTAGGGTTTAGGGTTTAGGGTTTAGGGTTTCCTAAAAGTACTTAGTTGCAACCACCTTACCTCTAGCCTCTTTGGCCCTCTCAAGTTTAGGGCTCAGGGTCGAGGGCCCCTATCATTTTGGACTCTCGCGACTCCTCGCGCTTATTAGGCTCTGAGGCGAAACCCTCAACCCTCAACCCTAAACCCTAGACCCGAGACCGCCAAAAGGCCCGAACTCCTGAACCCAGTCCGCTGGAACGGCGCAGGTTCTAAACCCAAGAACCCCAAAAGAAAAACACTCCCCAGACCCCAAAACTTAAAACCCAAGCCCAAAAGCAAAAAGCTAAGCCCTACACCTCATTTCTGTGAGAATAGCAGCTGAGGAACGCAAACAGGAGTGAAGCTACGGAGAATTATGGCCTGTCTCTTCAACCGTCAACCAACACCAGTCAAGCTGAAAGGGCTCGGGTTTCGAGATCTATTTTGGTGCTGTCAAAGGTCCATTGAAGACGTAGATGGGCTTTCGTCCGGACATCTCCTGATTCTCGCCAGCGGCGTTGTGGCTCGGGGACTGAGGATTCGGCGTTGGGGGGGAAGAGTCTGCCCCAAAGTAGGCCCCACACACCCAGGTAGTATTACCCACCACACTGCATGGGAAATGTGTGTGTGTGTGTGTGCATGTATGTATGTACGTACGTACGTGCGTGCGTAGGTACGTACGTACATACGTATGTATGTATTTATGCATGTATGCACGTACGTGCGTACCCATGTATGCATGCATGTATGGCATGTATGGGCGTACGCTGTATGTCTGCATGCGCGCGTGTCTGTCTGTCTTTGTCTCTGCCTCTGTCTCTGTCTCTGTCTCTGTCTCGGTCTCGGCGCTCTCGGTCTCTGTCTCTGTCTGTCTGCATGCATGCATGCATGCATGCATGCATGCATGCATGCATGCATGTATGTCTGTCTGTCTGTCTGTCTGTCTGTCTGTCTGTCTGTCTGTCTTTTTGCATGCATATGCATACGTATACGTATGAACATAAGCAGATCACATGAATTTGCACGGCAATGCGAAAGGTGCTTTCAGTTCTATGTCTGCATGCATGAATGTGTTTCTGTATGTATGTATGCATGCATGCATGCATGCAATGCATGCATGCATCTCTCTGGGTGTCTATGTATGTATGCATGCTTACATGTCCGTATGCATGCATGTGTATGTGCTGTGTTTGTTTGTTTGCTTGTTTCGTTTTTGTGCTTGTTTACTTGTTCATTTGCTTCTGTATTTGCTTGCGTGCTTGATTAATTGATTGTTTGCTTGTTTGCTTGCTTGCTTGCTTGTGTGTTTGCTTGTGTGTTTGTTAGTTAGTGTGCTTGCTTGTTGGTATGTTCGTTGGATTCGTTGGCTTGCGTGTTTGTTTGGTTGCTTGCTTGTTTGTTTGTTCTTTTGTCTGCATGCCTGTATGTCTGTCCGTCCGTCGGTCAGTCCGTCCGTCTGTATGCCAAGGGCGAATTTACGGCTGCGCGACCCTATGTTCGTCCTTGTACAAGCATTGCGTATACCCCTTAAAGGATCCTTAAAGGCAAGGCTAAAACATGGGGCCATGTCCGTCGTCCAAGCAACCGACTGTTGCCTCGACCTCAAACCCTGAGCCTAGAAACTCCGAAGCAACTTGAAGTTCCAAACCCCCTCCCCAGAACGTCGATCTCATACCTGAAAACCTAAACCTGAAGACCCCCATACTAAACCCTGAAGACCCCACAAAAGCCCGACCCTCTGCTGGAAAGCTGCGACTTTGCCACAATAGAAGCCACCTCCAAACTTCGCAAGCTTGCCAGCCTGTACTTTCAGGATAAACAACCGTCGTTAATCTAGACCCCTGCAGTGCCCCCTTGTGTTCTTTGGCTTCAGGTTGCGTAGCAGCAGCTCATCGCTAGACGTTTGGATGTAGGACGGAGAGGGTTTGGGTTGGGGGTTAAAGTTTAAAGTAAAAACTGAAAACGATTAGGTTTTCTGCTCCGCCAGGGAACCAAGAGCTGATTCGTTGATTGACATAGCTAAGGAAAGCATGAGCAGCTAAGAGCTGCTAGCTAGGTCTGGTCAGGGAGCCCTGAACTCTCTGCCCTAAACCCTAAACCCTGAACTCCTGAACCCCTAAACTCTACATGGAGCCAGGGGATGGGGATGCATCTTCGGGCTGGCCGCAGCTTTATGTTCAAATCCGACGATGTTTGCTGCGACTGCCCGCAAGCCCTGCATCCTGAATCCAAAGTTCAAGACCTCAAACCCCAAAATGTAGGGGCCTTAATCAGTAGAACAGGGTTTTGGGGCTTCCTGATTATCAGTATAGTCTAATATACCCCCAGACCCTCTTCTAATTACTAAGGCCCCTTTTTTTTAAAAATCAGAATGAACCAAGAGCCCGGCATACCGTCCAATGAAAGAAACCAGTTTGGGCTGCCGGGCTGGAGACTGATGGGTTAGGGTTTAGGGTTTAGGGTTCTGGAAGGGGTTCAGGGTTTCGGGCTTTGGGGTTTAGGAGTATTGAATTTAGGGTTTAGGGTTGTGGCAGGGGTTCAGGGTCTTGAATTTAGGGTTCAGGGTTTAGGGGGTCTTAGGTATGGCGGTAGACTTTTGTCTCTCATTTCAGTAAGTATTCAGGGGCCTTAATACCTAGAATAGGGTTTTGGGTGTTTTATACTGTCAATATAATCAGGAACCCCCAAAACCCGATTCTAATTACCAAGGCCCCGAAACCCTAAACCCTTATAGTATCCCTTATAGAACCCTTACAGGAGCCCTTTGAGGAGCCGTTAAAGGAACCCTACTACTTCCAGCTGTGGAGGAACCCGAAGCTCCCAACCAAACCAGGGCTTCCTGGCTCAATGCAGGGGCCTCAATAAGTAGAATAGGGTTTCATACGGCTCCTTTAAAGCGCTCCTTACAAGGGTTCTATAAGGACTAATATAGGGGTTTAGGGTGTAAGAGCATTAAAAAGTAGAATAAGGTTTTGGGCTCCTTTATAGTATAATTATCATAAGCAGCCTCCAAAAAGGTATAGGTAATTATTTAGGCACCTATTAAGTACGACCATGGTGGGGATAACTATATTTAGGCTTCTATATTACACCCTAAGCCTTGACATCACTCCGAATCCTCATTCAAGCCTCTAGCCGGTAGCGCTAAACCTGCAACTCTAAGCCTTCTTGCTCGCCCCCCAGGCTGCATTCAGCTCGTCTGGACTGCAGCTGAGCTCCTGCGACACGTGCGTCTGAAGGGCTTGGTTCTTCAGCAGTTTCAGGGAGTAGGGCAACCTGATAACCACAGAAGAGGACCCCGAGTGGAGGGATCCCTCAAGAATTCGTGAGCTTCGACGTGCAGGACCTTCGTTTCTTCAAATTCTGATAGGAAATTCCAGAAACCGCTGGCCTGGTGGTTACGAGCTTCTTGTCGTCGAGTGTCTTCCGCTACATGACTGCTATGCCCATGTGGGCGGGTTCAGAAAATGACGGGTCCAAATACACAATATACACACCGGAACAAGTGCGGACCTCAGTTTTGCGGTCCTCACCCTGCCGAAGCCCTTGTCCCTTCCCCCGAAACGATTAATGTCAGCTCCCCTGCATCGAGACCGGCAGCCCAACGCAAAAGCCCAAAAGTGAGCAAGCTCCTTCGTCCCAGATATGTACACGTATACACACACACACACAAGCACGCAAGCGCACAAGCACACGCGCAAGCGCACACACAGACACAGACACAGACACAGACACAGACACAGACACAGACACAGACACACAGACACACAGACACACAGACACACAGACACACAGACACGCAGACACACAGACACACAGACACAGACACATACACAGAGACACACACACACA